AAATCTGGGCTGAAGAGGCAGAAAGAAACCTAAGAAAAACACGCAGGTTGTTGTGTCAAAAGAAAGTCGAAGGAGAAAAGTGTGAAAACTGCTGAACTTGTGAAGAGCCTCCGTCCATCAATGCAACAACTGCCTCTGAATCTCTCCGACATCAACTGCCCTTACTGTCTCTTTGCCTCTCTTCCCCTCTGTCAGCACCAATCACCCACACAGGGATTAAAGCTCTTTAGAGCAACACCATAATCAGGCTGCTCTTTAATCTCTCGTCATCTTCTAAACTCTAAAACTGTTATGGCTGCAGTAATGTCTCAAACATCACCCCCGGTGACTCCCATGGACACAACTGAGCTTTTTCCTTAACTGTGACCTAAACATAACACAGCCGCCGGCATTCACTGGTGTCTATTAATTCACACTGCACATTACTACAGAGGAGTGCAGCTCAAATTGAAAAGGAAGAGTTGTAAAGAAGGGCTTTATTGCGAGGAAACGTAAAATTTTATTTCAAATAGGTTTACATTGATAACCTTTCTATAATTCTGGTTGTTTAAAACAACATAGCCCTGCGATGGACTGGCGACCTGTCCAGGGTGTCCCCTGCCTTCGCCCTAAGTCAGCTGGGATAGGCTCCAGCCCCCTGAGACCCTAGTGAGGATTAAGCGGTGTATAGATAATGGATGGATGGATGGATGGATGGATAAAACAACATAATTTCTCACACTTTGAATGATGACCGTGGACAGATTACTGAACAGGTCATTGATATACTGAACAGAAGCACAATAAAACAAGTAAAAGAAGATATGAAAGAGATGCAAAATGATCACAAAGGCATAAAATAGCTACAAAGAGGTGCAAAACAAACAAAATGTGACACAAAACCACCACAAAGACACACAAAATGGCTACAAAGTGATTCAAAATTATTAAAATAAAACCCAAAAAATGAAATGTGACACAAAATGACCTCAAAGAGACACAGGATGGCTGCATAGAGATACAAAATGATCGAAATGTGACACAAAATGACCACAAAGAGGCATAGAATAGCTCCACAGAGATGCAAATTGAGCAAACTGACACAAAATGTCTCAAATTCGACACAGAAGCCATGCAAAACAACCACAATGTAAAACAATATAATCCAAAAGTGACAGAATGGCCACAAAGAGGTGCAAAATGTAACACAACACTACAACATAGAGTAACTAGAAAACCTCCAAACCAATTCAGAACGAGCAAAATGAGGTACAAAACAATATAGAGAGACAAAGAGATGTAAAATGATCACAAAGACAAATGTGAAAGATGCTCAGGTGGAGACACAAAACAACCACAAATCACATCACAGTGGCTTTCAGTATGAGTGGTCGGGCCTTTCATAGGTCTGTGCCTCGGGGCCCATCGTTTCATAATCTGTCCATACTGATGACAACAGATGACAACATGTAACTTTAACTGATGGAGTCGTGACATTACTGCGACCTAAAAATGGAGCGATGAGCCACAGACGATTAAGACGCCCCCATTCGTTTCTACTTTATTAGGTGAGCAATGGTTTAGCTTTAGAACTAAAAACCTTGCTTCCCATTCATAGTCAAAACAATCAAAAGTTTGTGACAAGAACGTTCTTTCAACTTTGCCAGCCCCAGTCAGGATTTTTTTTATAATGCCAAGGCAACAGCAAGACTCATTTTGATTCTGTGTACGCTGATGCTTTGATATTTCCAGATCTGTTGTTTGATGGTGTTTGTGCCAGTGTCACCGTTACCGAGTATATGTCTTCTAATAATTCATAAATCACTCTGAGTCATTAGAGTGGATGGTGGGGGGGAATTAGAATGGCCTTTTTCCACACACAGCTGGAAGAAGATGTTCCTTCAGAGCGATAAAGGTCAGATTTATATGTCACAAACTTCCATCTTTCAGCCAACAATTTTGAGCGTGGCTTCCCTGAATGACCGCTCTGAAACTTTGGACCTCTGGAGGACCTGCGTGAAAATGGACAGTTAAAAAAAAACAAACTCTCGGTTCAAGAAGAAGGGCACCTTGACGCCGCAGCTCATATTGAAACGCTGAGAATACAAAGGAGACCTGGTGGATCACGGGTGGGGCAGGTTTTAAGGGGTTTTCTCCACAGGGTAGAGAACAGCTGATGAGAAAGTCAATTATTTAGACTCATCATTCAGAGTCTGGGCAGTGTCTTAAGGCCAGAGCCTCTGACCCTGTAAAAGCACACACACAGAGTAAAGATACTGTCCACCCACAGTACAGTACGCTATCAGGACTTACTGAATGTTTTATTACGGCTAAACGAATTCTGATCTTTTACGCAAAGGTCTATAAAGATAAAAAGACAGATTTTCCAGTTAAAAATTTTAAAAAAACAAAGTATCAGAAAAAGCCAGAATATATATGAACACATGGAGAGAAACAAGAAACATAATTAAACAGATCACTCCTTAATCTTTCACCACCATTCTGGAGAAAACCTAAAAAACTGAAGTATATTAATAAAAAGAAACCCCTCCAAAGTTTAGTTTGTCGTAAATCCTGATTTATGACAAACTACACATGGATTTGTGCATTAAAAGCAGGCATTATGAAATCTAACATTTGCTTTGTGCCATTTGTTATAATATCCTAATTTTGACATGATACGTTTAGGCATCTGTGGCACAAAATACATTTAAAATACATTTAAATGTATGCGATGTTCTTACACAAAGGGTCACCCTTTATCTGGCAATACTGCATTTGTTTACATTTATTAACGGGATGTGATGGACTGAGAGGTAGAGAGGACCAACTGGTAGAGGTAAAGTTAATGCACGGAGATCAGTTTTATGGCTTCTGATTTTCTGAGACAAATTCTGAGTGGTGATTGATTTAAATGTTCCCAATACAACTTATCAATATGAGTGGCCAGTACTTGATAGCTTTATAATTTGCATAGAAAATATTTCTGTAGAAAATCCCAATGAACCCTATTAGTTAGTGTTTTAATGGTAAACACACTCTACATATTTATTTCCCTTACTGGTCATGATCAAGCTGGAAAATTAGTCCGCAAAACTGCAAGTGTAAACAAACTGAGCGGAGATTGCAAATCAGCACTATTTAAATTTGCTTCATACAGGAAGAAGCTTATCCCACAGGAGATAAAGGAGAGAAAAGTTCATTTATTGGCAAATTATTTGAAGCCTGCTTATTCTATTAAAATATAAGCAAGGACGGAAAGGAGAGAGAGCAGAGAGGAGGGAGGCACAGAAATTATACAGGAGCAGATCAGCACATCTATCACTGTCGCTGTGCAAAGTTAAAGCTCGAGTGGAAATCACAGCGTTTGGCTCGCTTAGGACTTCAAGGACACAGGAGCGCTTCCTGTGGGCTGCAGAGGTGGGGCGTCGGGGGAGGTGTGAGTGAGGAAGAACAGAAAATGTTGTTAGAGTTGAATCTGACAGAAATGGAGGCGAGGCTTTGGCACATTACACCTTGTTCTTACGGGAGACGAAAACATTTTCGGAGGATGTGCGGAGCTGGGCTGTTTGGGCCAAAAGTATATTTTTATTCACTGTCCAGGGGCTTGATCACTGTGGAATACCTTTCAAAGAGGAGAAACTCCCTGTGAAAACAGCCTGTGCTTACACTGCTCAACAATCCACCTATTGCAAACTGTCTTTGTAAAAAATGCAGTGTAGCTGTACTGTCAGCTTGTAATCTAGTACTGGATATGGACTTCAGACATACATTCATGGAGAAAAGTATTACATGTTGGACTCCAACCAATCACAGCCTCCTGTCCTTCATGGCTTGCAAGAAGCCGGGTTTATTTGCTAGTTTTCCACGAGCTAAATATCAGAACATGTCATTCCATTTAAAGTACCAAACAGACAGATAGGAGACTGGACTAGTTCTACGCTGGCGCTTGAACTGGTTTGGAGATGGTTCAACCTGCAAATCTTCCAAGAACCAGTCTGCTTTCTCACCATAGAGCCACGTCATTACATCGCCGCACACATCTGTTCCGACGCCAGTTCTGTTATCGAAGATCTGTTCAGTTTATTCTCAACTTCTGTTGAGGACTAAAGTGCACATAGACAGTTTGTCTCACCCACGGACAACTGCTGCGAAGCAGATGAGGTCATTATTCATCTCATTTTCTCTGCCATTTGATGTTTTAATATCGCCAGTCGGTGTATATAAACACTTTTGCAAACGGCAGTTGGTGTTTGTGAACGCTGCTCCATGCCAGCTGGCGATATTAAAACATCAGGAAAATAAGATGAATACATCATTGGTTTGCCGCAAACACATCCAGACTGAAGCTCTGCTTTTTTTTCTCTTCGCAAACTAGCACTATTTGTTTTGGGGTTTTTTTTTTTTGTTTTTTTGGCTAAACAAAGTTTTAGGTGGTGCTGTTGGGCACAATAATGCTGCCTCCAGCCCTTCATAGAGGCCGTTCTAAACCCGTTTTCTTCACCAAGAGTCGGTTATTTCTCTGCCTAAACGCAAAGAACAGCTGTGAAATTGTGCCTTGATAGTAAAAGGGTATAAATAGTACAGGCAGTCGTTTGCACAGAGCACACTGATCAGACAACGGCCAAGAGTTTCATTTGGTCTTTGGCCAACGTGTACATCTAACACTAATTAGCCACAGCTATAGGCCATTTTCACTTAGATGACAAAAAATTGAAGCTTGGCACTGTAATCTTTTTTAAAATGTATTCAATAATTAGTCAGCTGCAGATGTTAGTTGAATATTGAAGGAAGCAGCTCAGTTCAGTGCAGCTACAGGATGCCTGCTCACCACAGTCTGGCCTTCATCCTAACATTTTGAGGTCAACTGACTTTGACTGCAGTCTTCTTAACTACAGTTTTGGGCCAAGTCCCTCTTCGCAAGGCTTAAAAAGGGGAGACAGATAACTGGTTGAGTGTTGGCATCTAACAGAAGGGTAAAAAGGAGGTACGTTCTGTTGGGACGAGGAATCAGCACTTACCAGAAACACCCTGTACGCATCTTTCCTTGTCACAGAGCCCCAGCATGGGTCTGTATCGTTGTACTTCACACTTCCAGCACTGCAGGAGTGGTTTCCACTGTACAGACACATAAACACAAGCAAACAGAACTTTATGTTAACCTTGTTAGGTGTTGACATGTTACACGCCCAGACCATCACCACAGCTATCAAATCAGGGCAGTTTTTTATTACAACTTGTAATGTATCATCTCTGTGTTTATGACAGACGGATCAATCGGCTGCAGGTTGTGAAACCTTAAAGAGTATCTCTAAAAAGCAATCACTAACCCCTATCATTGTTGCATGACAAACCGAGCTTTAGGAAAATCATCTGTTTCTGCCCATGTCACTGAGAAGTCTGCAGCTTGCGCCTCCAGGCGAAGCAAACCGCTTTTGAAGTCTCAGTTACATCTCACATTTATTCTTGCTGGAAGGTTAGCAAGGTTTGGACCACAGTGGAGGAGAATTTAATACGATGAGACAGCATCAGTGTGCTTCGCCTCCAGACAGGATGAGGCAGGCAGGGGGGGGCTTTGTCATAACAACAATTAGAAGATGAATAGGACAGAGTTTATACTGTGACCTTTTTTAACTTTAAATCGCCACTGTGATTTTATTATTATGAATTAAATCGATGAAGCAGGGAATGACAGAAAATTAAAGGGGAACAAGTGAGAAATTGAATTAGAAACATCTCGAACAGCTCAAAGTCAAGGCCTATGTAGTAGATAGTAATGAGTTACAGTGTTAGCTGCACTTAAGCTACTGAGCAACACAAAACTAGCACGACTCATTAAGTTCTCATTACTTAAGAACTTTTTACACGTTTTGTGTAACTGCAGGCAAAGTAATAGATTAATAGTTCCTAAATACAGTATAGGTTAATGCCAAAAAAATTCTAAATTAAGGAAAACAGACCACACTTTCAGCCATTAACAGCTTATATAGGATTTTAATTAATAACAACCTGGTAAATCCTTAAAATATTTATCAGTCTGTTCGTAATAATGATTTAGGCTTAGGTTGGGACAGACGAAAACAGGAGCAATTTCTGGCAAATATATGGCTCTGCGAAGATCTCGTTGACGAGTTTGTACTCCAAGTCTGCACTTTTTCACAACACAAAACAGCGTTTTAGTCTCCAGAGTAGATATATGTGAAACTCCAGTCTTCCGTTTAAGTGTGGAGAAGGAGAATTGATCTTTTGGAAACAACATCAAAGCATTCAAGCACACTTGTTTATCATCCACAATCATGTCAGAATTTCATGCTATTTCTGTTTCATAACAGAAGCAAACAATATGGAAAATCATGTGTTTAGCTGCATTAGAAAAGCACAGATGATCACAAGCAACAGGAGCAGAGAGAAGTCTAACAAGCTGGATTCGACAGACTGGTTATCATGTTGGTTGTCTTGATCTGTTTTGTTGTTAAGGGACCAACAAAAAAGAGATTAAGCCACTTATATAGTGATAAGTGGTGATATGGATCTTTGCCACTTCAGCACCTTTTTTCAAAGTTCAGTCCAGCTATCCCTGATGACACAATCTGTATGATTCTTCTGAAAGGCAGCTCACGTGTTAAAGCAGTCAGATTACCCACCCCTATTTGAGATCTCTGTGAAAATGACCCATAAACACTGATGCCAAAGCACACTGCCCTAGACAGCATCAACAAATCAACCTGGCTTAACCTTGCTAATGAAAACACTAAAGGCACACAAAGTAATAGAGATCAAATATAAATAGGTGCTGCAATTAATGATTATTTTGACTGTAAATTAATCTTTGATTATTTTCTTGATTAATCAATCAGTTCTTTGGTCTATAAAATGTCAGAAAATGGTAAGAAAAAATACATATATTTAATCCACAACCCAAAGTTAGGCAGCTTGCAGTAAAAGCTGACCATCTTCAAATGTAGGAAGCTGGAATGAGAGAATTTAGCTTTTGTTTTTTTCTTAAAAAATAATCAAGCTGATTAATTGATCAAAATAGGCGATTAATTCAATACTTGACAACTAACTGATGAATCATGGCTGTTATCTGTGGTGGTCCGGATCTGCACCAGAATGTCATTGGTTCTTCTTGTGCCCATGTTCCTCTTATCCACCATGGTCTATGAAAATTATCCAGGGAGTTTTTGTGTGATCTTGCTGACAAACAGATGGACGGACAAACAAGTGGCAATGATCACCCACCTCCAACTAGGCTCTCATCATAGCACAGGAAACTAATTAAACTTTTTGAAACTGTCAAAAACATCTCTATCAGAAACTTTAACTGTCACAATCCTGAAATCATCTCACTAAAACACCACTACAGGGGCTATGATTATTTCTGTGATCTAGGCTCTGAAGGAGTCCATAACGATATGAGATATCCTATTTTCACCCAGTCTGGCAAACAGACTAGCAATAAAAACCTATCTGGAAGCAAGTCAACATGACTCAGATGCCAGAAGCACGAGTAAGAGGTGAGCAGGCCTACAGGCCTCTGTCAGCAAAGCTTTATTGTCTTAATCTTGAGTTCAGCAGGTCACAAAAAGACAATAGTGGTGGGATAAAGGAGCCAAGGAGAAGAAGACAGATGTGCTTTGTCTTGCCAATACTGAAAGCAAATGTTCTGAATGCTCTTCAATGACAGCATGTATGAAATCCATCAATATGTACATTTTATTTCTCAATAAATGAAAATAAAGCAATTCTTTTGGTCTTACCAGGCAACCTCCATGAGTGATATAGGCACAGCTGCTGCATAGATGGCCAGGTCTCCATACAGATAGACTATGATGCAGATGTAGAACATATTGACGCCAACTGAAAGACAAAAATTAGAAGATTAAGATATGAATGATTTAAGGATTCGTGACTTGTTTCTCCACGTGAAAAACATCATAAAGGAACACGAGATCAATAGGTGTCAAGCAAACACATTTTTCATCTTTAGCAGCTGTCCAAACACTTCATCATGAAAGATGGCATGTGTGTCAAACTCTACCACTATGGTGCCATCTCTATTAAAATTCACTCTCATCTACACCTCCGCTCAGTGTATCCCTCCTTCCCTTTCTGGGACAGCTGAGACACATCTTATTGGTTCAATGAAAAATATTAATGGCATTAATTAAAAAAACTAATCACTCCGTGACAGAAAATTTCCTCATCAGCCTCAACTCTCCACAGCAACAAGCTTTTAACCATCCGCCCTCCTCTCTTCACTCACACAGTCGAGGCCCAGCCGCCTTTGCCAAGCCAAGATCGAGAGCTCTGTCCAGTAGACACATCAACACAGCGGACCACACATCCATCATCCTCTTGAGTTCTCAGAAATGGGTTCAACCATCCAACTGGACCTCTTAGCTAACTCATTACTGCCAAGGAAATTAGAGCATACTGTCTATTAAAAAGAAATAAAAGTTGACAGATTTACAGCTTTACGGGTTACGCTGATTCTTTGTCGACTTAAGGGCTGAGGGTGCCCATCAAACAGTTACATTAAGCAGTGATATAAGTTGAAAGCATATGGAAGCGGTAGGCTAATAAACAACCATTCATCTAGTTGTAAAAAAAAAAAAAAAGCTGACCCATCCATCGGTCCAAAACCTACAGATACTTCACTTACAAATCTTCACATTTGACCAGCTTGCCAGCGTTGTTGGGAATCACAGGGTTAATTTATTGACTGACCAGCTCCGCATGTACACAATAAAATTCAATGCAACTGTCCACAAGTTAAATGTTTTTGTCTTGCGATGCACACATTTAAATGAATGAATCGATGATGGTATATTACATATCTGATTGTATTGTAGCTGTGAGTATACAGTTTTGCATTTGCCTAATTGATTTCAGGGCTGAAAAACTGGCTGTGCATAAATAAACCAAAAGTTGTCTATAAGGCCAGTAAATCTGTGTTTGTTTCAATTAACCGACCACATCTGAGGATGAGAAGATGTTTCTGTGAATCAATTAGAAGCCTGATATATGTCTTCACTATTTTGTTCACCCCATATATATATATATATATATATATATATATATATGACACACATCTGCGCGTTATATGCAGAGATGTCAAAGTCACTCGTATCCTTATGTTGTCTGTTTTTCTTGCTTCTAACCCTTTGGAGCTGACTGTTCACTTGCTGCCTAATGTATCTCAACACTTGACTGGTGCCACTGCAACAAAATAATGTATTTTTGACTTTACTTGTAATTCAACAGCACCACAAACTACACACCTCAAAAATAAAAAATACAGTTGACTCAACACCACTCAGTTTCAGCAAAAATTAAACAATATAACCTTTCATGAAGGTACTGTAGGATATTTTGCAGGACTGTAGTGCAACTTATCCTGGTCAGACTCCAGCAGCTTTATATATGAGCATATGATATATAATTATTGTCTTGGTTCAAATAGGACATGCTAATTAATTCTGTCTCAGTACCAATTCCCACATTGTTGCACAAACATCAACAAGACATATTTTTGCCTCAATCGGAGACAGGAGAAACGGGACGTACTGTACTCTGCTGCCACTGTCGGTAAGCGATAGCAAATAGAGTGCTCTGCATGACCACGGGGATGCAAGCCTTCACAGCACTGTAACTAATATTTCCCAATTACCCAGAGCCACAGGCAAAAATGCTGCAAAACGGGTCTTCATGTAGGAGCTCAGTATTTCGTGATGCTGTGAAAAGCATCACTATCCATCAACACATTGCCTCTGACTGACAGCAGACATGACAACCTGCCTGTGAGGAGCTGCAGAGAAAAGCACAAAGGCCACATTTAGTTAAGTCCACAACACAGAGAGGCATAAAAGACTCAACAGTACTGACTGAGAAGTGCTTTCAGGGGATTTAATACTAATTCATAATAGGACATGGACAATATTGCAAGTCATGTATTACAAAAAGTCCACTGTGGCCTGTCGCGAAAGGTGAAATGTTTTGTTTTCATTCTGTTTTGTCGCAAATAACTCATTGAAATGAGCTTTAGTCGCACTAAAAGTCTCTCAAACAAGGAGAAGGAGGGTGAATTTTAACTTTTAATTTCACCTCATTAGTCTCTCTCTCCTTATATTCAAGTTGTGCTGCATGTGGGACCGACGGAGAGAAATTTTGATGGACTGAAATTACACAAATCAAATCTAAATTGAGCCAGCCCCGAGAGGCAACAATGCCATTAACAATATGCCTCCAAAAATAAGTAAATAGGACAGAGCAGAGGTAGAAATGGCTGATTTAGATCCACCTTGTCAACACACAACTTCTGTGCGATGCAGGATACATTGAATATTTAGGCAGTACAAAGTAATAACTTGAAAACTATTATTTTTCTTGGGAATAGGTGCAAAGAAGAGACTTGGACCCTGACAAAGTTATTGATATTTTTAAAAAAGCAGATACCAGTATACATAAACACTTTAATTAGCCTTATAACAAGACAGTCAATGCCAGTTGCCATTTTTCAGTGTGACAGCATGTTCACATCAGCTTATTTCTGTTTGTGAGGGGGTCTATGCTGTTTAATTACTCCTTGCCCGATCAGTAACGGCTAATCAGTCTCGACAATGTAATTTTCAGTTGGGACAGAAGCGGTTAGTGGTTGTGAGGTGTAGTTAACTTAACAGTGTCACATTTGCTGTAGAAATATGTCAAATTACAAAAGCTTTTTCAACAAACAACCGTAACATCAGCGTCGTCTGTTTATCGCCATTTTCTTGCAGGAAGGCACGGGAAGATGACGTTTCCATGCAGTCACATCTACAAAGCTCTGAATGGCTCGGGTTTGAGTTTCCATCAAAAGAATCTCTCTCCTAGATATTGTACTTAAGGAAAAGCATTAATACCACAGTATACAAACACTATGAATGAAAGCAGATGGTAGATTTAGGAATAATGTATATTGTTGGATTATATGCATCATCATTTTATAGGTGTCTTAACCAATTTATACAGTTTATCTGGTGGACAGCTTATAATAACCCTTTGGGGAGCAATAAAGTTGTACTGTAACATATAATGTTGCATCATGATGTATTTGTTGATTATTTCTTGGATTGTTAATCTGCAGTGTAACTTAAGTTATTGTGGTGGAACAGATGTATATCATCACATAATGGAAGGAAATTACAGGTACCTCAAAACAGTATTCAAGCACAGTACTTTAGTAAATGTACTTCAGTTACTTTCTAGTGCTGGCATATACTAAAGACCTGCAACTGCCCTCTTGTGGACCAACTATGTAAGTGCTAATATTCACAAACATATCTTGTTATATTGCAAGTTCTTGTTACTCAAGGTCTTGTTTAGAGCATTTTGGACGGCACCATTAAAATTAAACAGGCATATTTGTGACCGGCTGTAATAAAAGCGTAGAGACAACAGTTCAACAACAACATCACAGATGATCAAAAACTTAAAGACACTGCTCTCAACTCTAAAGCTGCATATTGACAGACCAGGAAACAAGGAGACCAAGGGACAGATTCTTAATTACAACAGAACACGTCTCTCTTGGTTTTATTTTGGGAAACAGCTGAAGCTTTCATAGAGCAAACTTCCTTGCTGGCACTCAACCTGCAATATTGATCTGTTGGGCTAATCATACTTAGGTATATAGCATTCCTGTGTAATTAAAGCACATCTCTTATTAAGTTGCCACAGAAAACTATTGCAGTGCTGGCTTATAGAAAATGATTGGGGTGCAAGCTGGAGCAAACACGTCCATTTATCTTCTCAGTAGCTCAGGCACTCTTGATTTTCATTTTGCCAGCGCTTGCAATGCACAAGTATGACATTTAAGTAAAAGTCATTCAAGTATTGAAAATGGATGTGCCCATGTTTGGCTCTCATTAAAGACAGAAGCCCGTGTTACAGCAGAGTAAATTAGTATTCACAGCCATGGTCCTCCGTATGTCAGGGGAAGGACGGCTCGCGCTGAAGAAACAATCCTGCTGTTTGCACAGCCGCCATGTTAACCACCACATCATATCACAAAGGTAAGAAAAGCTGAGACAAGATGCTGATGCAAGGACAGCACTCTGTTAAGTCTCTCTGTTTGTGACTTTAGCCAAAGTCGTCTTCTAATCAACTTTCAAATCATCAATGTGAAGGTTATAGTAACACCTTTCCACAGTGGTGCAGATAAACCAGCCCCCATCAACATTCCTGTCAGTGGCTGCAGGTCAGGCTGATACGATATCCATGGCCTTATTCCAAGCCTGCCTTACCGCTGCTGCCGCTGCCACGTCAATTTCAGCCCAGGAGGAAGTCAAATGCCCTCTAAGAGTGCCTCTTCAACAGCAGGAGAGATGCTTTTTAATTGCCTGCAAAGGTGCAGGACAGAAAGACAGTGTGCAATCACACCTACAGTTTATTATCTTAGAAGAATGGGGAGGTGACGTTAAAGCTGTTTTAATGTCCTGTAACTTTAGCACAGTATAATAGACTGATTTACCTCCCTGGTATTCACATCAGTGAAGAAAACATTTTTTTCTTAAAACCACTGAATGGGCCTGTCAGTGCAGACAGCAGTTTGCCCTCTGTTGATTTTGTGTTGCTTTGCTTTCCAAGAAAAGGGAACAACTGGTTATCAGATGACAACATCTGTCTCCTAACACTCATCCTCCCTTGCAATTGAGGGTTGTTTTCTAGAGTTGGTTTGGATTAAGTTGTCACTTCTGACAAACTACATGATTCCCTCGAAAGAGGACTGAGATTTACATTTTCAGGCATGTTAGTGCATTTTTTAACACTTTACACACAAATGAATAGCTCCTAATAACCTCTTTTTTAATTTAAATTCCCATTTTTATACTTAGTGCAAGACTACAAAACCTGGATGCATATTAACCAAGAGGAGAGCCACAATATATCAATAATATATAGCTCGGACTGAAACCAGCAGCTTTTCCCATTACTGCTTAATATGCTGATAATTTTCTTGATGAATCAATTTCTTGTCAACTCTGTAAATGTAAAGAAATCAAACACAAAAGTAAAAAATAAAAATCAATAGCACAAAATTGCACAGAGCTCAGGCTTATTGTACAGCAGCTTCATTTGAACATCAGTGACCAGTAAGTTTCTTGACAGATGTACCAGTCCTCAGGGTGTTTTTACATGAATTACAATTAGCCTCAGCAGGTAAAGGTCATCTAAAGTTAAGTAGCCAGCATAATAGGTCTGTCAATGTACTGAGACGAATGAAGGCACCTATTAGGTTCACCAACAAAATCCTCTTTGAAAAGGAACATTTTCATAAACATGAATATAAATCACAGTGAATAATGTCTCACTGCATCTGGTTGGTGTTTGTGAAATCTGTTGAATGTTTAGTTTAGCCTGTCCAACAGTCTAACATCCAAAGAGATTTAATTCAACAAGAAAAACTCAGACAGAAGAATGCTGTGTATTTTTGCTGTGTAAAATGACTTAAACAATAAATTGCTGTCAATTAATTTTCAATCCATCCACTTTCAGCTTTAATCTACAGCACTGACTATTAAAAACAAACACTGCATGTTGGCCTTGTATGATTTACACGTTTACAGGTCTTCACATGTGCACACATGTAACAAAAAAAACCTGTCCCAACATTTACATCAGCTACAACTGATAAAATTAGTCTTTCTCAACTTAAATAAATCTGACATTAGAGGATCTTTTTCACTATTCAAACTATATTTTGTCACACGCCTGCCTCAGTTGCAGTAACTGATGGAGGACTAAAGGCTATTCTGTGCACAGCCACCTAGTAGCATCTACAAATGCATGTGAGGCATTTAGGGGCCAACTGTAAACTGTAGCTACAGAACAACCTGGTGGTCCCGGTTTCTCTCTAAACTGCACGACTCTCTGCATGCACATCAGTCACAGTGTGCCAGAAACCACCACAAGTAAATTCTCAGGCAGTGGGAAACACTGACATAAAATAAAACAGCCAACATCATTTTTGTATTTATTGCAAATAGTGTGGGAAAAAGCACGGCTAGGAACAGCACTTTCCCTAACTGAAATGTTCAAAAAGCACATTGTCTCCAAGAAACTGGTGCCACGCCATGACAGGTGTGAGGCCAGCAGAGAAGACCCCTCTCCAAAGCATTTCAGCGCCAGATAGCTGCACACCCAAGCAGTAGGGGTCAGAAATGCTAATTTAATTTTTGTGACTGCTTGTATTCTGGCCAGAGAATCACTACTTTAAGTTGCATTGTACCTTGTGAAAGAAAAGCAGATCACATTTAATTTGCACCTTTATTTCAATGTGTCTTCTTTAAGAATGAGCAGAAAGACAGCGTTGGAGAAATGCATTTAGATGTTCTGCAAATAGGTGCATATTTTTTTTATATGATACCTAACATGCATATTTCAACATATCATTTTAGAAAACTCATGAGAAAAAAGTGTTGATGTGAGTATTCAACTGGGGAAGCTTCATGGTGTTACTAAAAAGTACCCCTTCACCTTTACTGAAGTAAAAATTGTCTTTAGACAATCCCAACACTTTCAAACTTTTTTTGGTATCAGTACAAAACTATGACACTTGAAATTTGCATCCAACAACGACACCTTTCTTGGTGCATTTCCTTTCATTATTTGCTCACAAAAAGGAGGTTCACACACAGGTAAGAAAACACCAGAAAGCAGGTGGAAACAGAACAGATCAGTGCTGTCAAGATAGACAAGAGAGCTGCTTTTCTTTTTTCCTCTTTCAGCATGTGCTGGGACTCGTGCCTGTCTAATTCATTTCTGATTAGAGTCACTGGGCAGCTTTCCCACCACATAGGGAGACAGAGAAGAGGAGAGAAAACTCATTTCCTTATTACCAATCGATACCTCCACGTGTCTCACCTGCATGCAGTCTGCGTATCATGGTGGGAAAGGTCATCAGCAAAGATTTTTTTTTTTAACACTCTGAAGCACCTTTAACAGGCAGGACAGCCGAGTGAGTGACAAGAGACGGAATGGATGGAAGCACACTGCAGCTTTAACAGCGTGAGCTGCATGACGGCATGCATGAGTGCGTTCACACGTGTGGGTGTGAACATGAGCCGGGTGGATGTGTGTTATACCGTGTGTGCCAAGTGCTCCACCTACTGTCGAAATGCTGAAGGACAGAACATGTCAGCATGGATGATGTTGTCAGAGCTTTGACCTTTCCTTGTTCTTTTATTCCTGCTACAACAGGGACACTGCAGACTGTTGAGTCACTCACATCTGGTTAAGAAGAGTCGAGTGGCTTAATGCAAGCAGACTGGGGGAGGGAGAGAGACGAGGAGAAGGGTGTGCTGCATGCGGACACGACCAGGACAATGTACTGATATGAATGAGGAATGTAAAGCCGCGAGGCCTTCTCTGTCTCTGGTTCAAGGTGATTCTGCTTTCAATTTAGCATCACAAGTTAGCAGAGGGCTCATTAGCTCTCAAATCATTCAGATATTTGCCACGAGTTCAGGTTATACCCCCACCCACACACATGCTCAGTACGGAGATTAACAACCTTGATGGGGTCTCAAACAGGTAATTACAACCAAAGGCAATTTATCCATATATAATTACATCCAATTAAACTGCCAGCAGCCTTACTTTGTAAATGTGAAGACAGGACATAAAAAGGTGCAAAAAAAATTTGAATGATCCCACACAACCTTCACTACTCCTCCATAAATGCTACACGTGGCTAATGATGGCGGGGTCTGCAGTTAATTGAAGAATGAGCAGTGAGAGCAGAGGCTTGAGGCGAGAAGACTATTACCTTTGTTGAAGAACATGGAGGCCATTTGACCCATCTCAACTCGCTCCAAGATGTCGAAATGATCAACGGCACCTGATCTTTCTGTGAAAACATAAAGAGGCCATCTGTAGTAAATCTCATGCACAGTGTCGGAGGATGAATGACAAAAAGAACCTGGATAATTTAAAAAAAAAAAACACTATAAAACAAGGGTCAAAACTGTTTCATTAACCAGTTTATGAATTAAGTGTTCATCATTGTTGAGGTTTAAAGGTTGAATCTCACTGCTGGTCCTCCCTTTGCTTTCAGTTCTTAATGGGATGTTGGAAACTTTCCTCTGAGACCCTGAGATTTGTCAGCTGCACCACATCCCAGAGGTGTTCTACTGGATCAAGGGTGGTAAAAGCCCACTGAACTCACTGTCATGTTCAAAAAAGTAGTTTGACTTTTGCTCTGTGACATGGTACACTGTCCTGCTGGAGGCAGCCATGTAAACATGACAACTGTCAGAAGGAGCTCTGCAAGGTCAGGAACAATACTCAGACGGGCTGCGGCATTCAGACCCTGATTGTTGGTATTAAGGGGCCTAAAGTGTCTGAGAAAACATTACCCGCACTATCACACCAGCACCAGCAGCAGCAGCAACCTGGACTGTGTGCACAAGGCAGGTTGGCTCCTGTATTCATACTTGATTCTGACCTTACACCTGCAACCTCAGCTAAAAAGGAGACTCATCAAACCAGGCTACGTTTTTCCAACCTCAACTGTCCGGTGTTGGTGAGCCTGCACCCACTGTGGTTTCACATTTCTTTTCTTGGCTGACAGGAGTGGAAACCTAAAGTGGCCTTCTGCTGGTGTAGTCCATCCATCTCAATGTTGCTGTGAGTCTGAGCTGCTTTTCTGCTCAACACAGTTGTTACGCTGGTCATCTGAGTCGGTATAGACTTTCCGTCAGCTCCAACCAACCAGTCTGGTCTCTGACCTCCCTCATCAACAAGGTAGTTTCTGTCACTAACTGGATGTTAGTTTTTCTTGTTTGTTTGTTTCCCCACCATTCTGAGTAAACCATAGGCTGCTGTTGTGAAAATCTCAGAATATCAGCAGTTAATACTCAAACAATAATCAGGTGTTGCTAATAAAGAGTTCCGTGAATGTAGACGGGACCTCGTAGGAAAAACAGCGTTGGTTATTTGCTCAAATTCCTATAATGACGATCTGAAAAATAAACTCACTGGCCTCAATATTCAATCCACCTGCCTAATATTGTGTAGATCTCCCTCCAGCTACTAAAACAGCTCGGACCCATCCATGCATGGACTCCACAGACCTGTGAAGGTGTCCTGTGGTATCCAGTACCAAAACGGCTGGAGCCTCCATCTTGTTTTCCCCACGGATGCTCGAAGGGATTGAGATCCAGGAAATGTGGAGGTCAACACATTGTCATACTCCTCAAACTGTTCCTGAGCAGTGTTTGCAATGTGGTAGGGGGCTTTACACAATTGAAAGAAGCAGCTGCCATAGAGGAGTATAACTGACTTTTTACTTGCAGTGATTGCCTCAAAGGGTTGTTCAACAAAATATCAGTTTACGCATCCCATCATGCTTGTGGGTTGTTGTTGTTTTATTTTATTTCTGTTGAACCATAATTCAAAAGCAATGTCATAGTTTTCATTAAATTTTTATTTATTATTACTTTTGTCAATTTCAACGTATTTCAGTGACAGATGTTTTTTTCCTTATTTAATGAGAGGGTATGAATACATTTGACGACTGTAACTTGTGTCAGGAACACATGATGCTGGTAGTAATTCAGGTTAAACTGGAAAGCATGTGACTTTAACAAGACACTTGTTTGTTTTTCTGTTTCCATCTAACTTTACAATAAACAGTTATGATACAGGAAGTGGTACTCACGAACAGACAAGATGGGCTTTGTCTCCGGCTCTGATCGGCCTCGGCCCATGACGTCATCATCTGAATACTCAGAACTTGAGTCGCTGTCAATAACCTGTGAGGGATGATACAGGTGTGAGGAGCTCTGTTTTATGCTTCCTATTCTCCTAATTTCCCAACATAAACAAGAGTCAGTTTACAAGCTATTAGCAGAGTGTTTATTTGCTCTGTATGTGACGCAGGGGAAGGCAGCATCTGGAAATTACAAGCAACAGCTGGGAAACACTTTGGAGGAGCTCACATGTCACACCTATCACACGCCAACACATCGCTTTTGATCATTTCACAGAATCTCTGTAGATTAATGTCAATTAATCGTCAATGATATGTGAGTTTGATCAGCTGAATTAATAAATGACACGCCGGCTGGGACAGAGGGAGGAAGAGGAGATGAGGAGTGACAGTAGGTAATGGCTCGGTGACAAACAACAAGCAGGCAGACACAAACAAGAGAAACCAGACAAAATAACAGCTTAATGCATGCGGCTATGGATGCGAGTCGGAAGACTTTTCATGCTTAAAGGAGGTGATGGACAACCAAAGTCAAACTAACTTTCTCAGAGTGGAAAGTCAAGCACCAGGCTGCAGAAAGCTAATGCTGCCGTTTAATCTCAGCTTCATGCAGGTTAGAAAAGGAGGTGATGCAACCAGGACTGAGCGATGTCAACATTCGCATCTTTATATTGACTTCAAAAATAATTAGAATCTAGTGTTAAGATAAGTTGCCCTCAACTGTCAGAAAGAAATTATTTAGTGGAGTGAAGTACAACAAAATAGACAAATTAGTGGAGCTCAACTTTCATCTTATGACTGCACAGTTTTATCTTCGAGGTTAGGAACAGATTTACCTTCTTCTCTTTGTACATAAGCAAACAAAACAACCTAAATTTGACCATCAACAACAGTGGAATGCTCAGTATGAAAAAAATATCAGTCACAGGAGATGTATTTTTGCAAAACAAATACTTTTACATTCATTTTTTAAGTGTATTTTTGCTGTTGATATGTTGACATTAGCAAAAGCTTGTATGCAGAATCTGTACTTTAAATGGAGTACTTTTGGACTGTCATCACAGATCGACATTAAAATGCAGAAGTCTTGGAAAAAGAAAGAACGAAATTAAAACAAAATAGATCTCACAAAATGTTCCGAGAAGTTAAAAAATAATGGTGTCTATTTCTGGTGGCTTTTTCATGTCAAATGTGGCAATACTTTATTTTAAAGGTCTCACAGTTTGCTAGAATTTCTTCCATCCCTCCATCATCTATACACCGCTTAACCCTGGAGTCTATCCCAGCTGACTTAGGGTGAAGGCAGGGGACACCCTGGACAGGTCGCCAGTCTATCACAGGGCTATAATTTCTCTAACTGAAAATTACATGCAACTGAAATTCATCTGGAAGCCTCTGGAAGAGAAAATATAATTAGGTACTTGTAGAGGCACCATGTTCAAGTGATGCAATTTCAATTAATTCTTTTTAATTAGTCTCTGGTGAGAGAACGGACTTCTAAGCTTTTGAATCGTGACCCCTTAATCTACACGTATCCCCTTCATCGTGTTTGAGCCGAGAGCAGTTTAACGGAAAACTCATTTAAATTGAAAATGTACTTCATGAGAATATATATATAAATAATAAAGAATATAAAAAATAAATAACTATTCTATCTAATCAAAGCATCTTTTTTTATTACATCCTCACAATAATTATCTCACATCACTGTTAACACTGTCCTGACTGTCAGGTGGGGAATCACAACAAACTTTCATTTACTGCGCAGCAAAGCTGAGCAAAAAACTGAACCGGTCAACAAACAATTTAACATGTGTAATTATTTCTCTGTATATCAACTACTAATAAACCGCACATGATACGTAAATATCTCTTTAGAGCTTTTCTGTAAATGCTGCCATGGATTTCTGAGCTTGAACCTTTATGAGCAGCGCTGACGAACTGAAGGAGTCAAACTCTTGCTAAACTTCCAGCAGAGGGCAGCCACATCTGTCAAGCCAGAGCCAAACAATACTTTATCTGGACACCACTTATCACAAATGCCTCACAACTGGTCATTTGACATTTTAGACAGTGAGTCACGCAGACTTTCGTCGCCATGCATATTTCTGCCATAGAGTAATAAACTGAACAATCCTTTACTCCACATTTTCCCATGAACACGCCTTGCTGTCCATATACACGAGCTGAAACCTACTCCAGTAGCAGGTAATGCTGACAGATTGTTCTCCAACTCATGTTCTCTTTCTACTTTTTACCTTATCAACTTATATGGCACCTTCTCTGATGATGCATCACAAGCCTATATTGTTGTTAATAGGCTTCACTCAAGCAGAGAGAAATAAAAGGCATTCAGCAGCAAACATTTCCAGTTTTATCCATTACGTGGGCGGAAAATGCTGAGGAGTACAGGAGCCATGAATCAACGCTGAGTGTTTGAGGCTCAGTTAGAGCCAGGCTATTGTCCTCAGGCGCATAACTCCTCAACTGGAAACCCACAGACATTAAGCAAGATGACTTCTGTACCATGGGAGAAACAAAAAGGAGAGGCCGAGCTATTTGGAGTGCACAAAGTCTTTTTCTTAGTCAAAGTAAAAATGATTTGAGACTGGGCTGTTTCCCTTGGTAATCAACTACAGTTCTACCCTGACGGCTTCATCCAAATTGGGTTTCTTACAGACGGGCGGCAAGAGGCACATTTCACTTTTGCTAGGACGGGGTAATAAAACAATAACCACCTTCTAAATAAAAAAAATACAGCTTCCTATTAAAAGAGAAAATTATTTTCAGGTGTTAAACCTTAATTATTCTACAGTCAAGTGACTTTTACGAGGAGAGAAATGAAAACAGTCACTGTTTCCCTATAAAAAGAGACATCCAAGTGGTGATAAAGTTCAGCTCAAATAAGGAAGACTTTCATGAGAAAGGTCACTCAGAGCTGCTGCTGTAGAAATGCATGTACACTTCAACACAACTTTAATAAAGAGTAAAGTGTCTTTAAGGTTTAACATGCGACATGTCAAAATTATGTCGGCCAGTCGCTTTTTGAACAGTTAGCTTACAAATGTTTTTGTTTGGTGTCCACCTCCATCTAAATCTATTTGACTACAGGGGGATGGATGAGTGTCCAGTGGTTTAATCATGTTATCAAGTATCTGGAATCTCCTTTTTTCCTCTGCTATTAACTGTACAGCTCCAAAGAAACTCTTCCAGAAGCTTATTTTGTCCAGCAGACGAAAGATAATCAGTCTGAAGACTCTCCAGTCTGCTTTAAAGTGTCGTTTCCTGCGTTGAGCTAATATTTTATTTATGTGGTGCGCTCACAAGGCTCCATGACTGATCCTGCTCAGGAACACAAGCGAGGACTAGGCATTACATCAGGCGATCGAAATCAGGGCTTGTGTTGCATGTGTTTTTGTGGTAGGTGCACATTTGAGATTTTATCAAACTAAAGCAAGAGAGCAAATACTACATTCTTTGTCATTCAGCAGCCAGAATGATCCAACCTTCATGTCAAGGATCATCGCTGGTGACTAGAGGTGGGTCTGCGGCTGCCACCAGGAGGAGAAGTGACAGTTTCTACAGTGGAGAAGCCCACAGTCTCTGAGACTGAAGAAGGCACGTCAGGTCAGGAGCTCACCAGAGGCATGCCTGCCGTTTTCTTCGACATTCACATGGTAGCGCATTGGGAATTCACTCCCTAGGGTGGGACTGCCAAAGCAGAGTTCGGCTGTAGCGTCCTGTGGTGTCTGAGGGCGAACATTCAGCCCAAGCGACCTGAGCTGTGGCGTGATGGCATGTGGGTGCTTGAATATCAATGCGCCCCCTCACAGCACATTGATCATGCATGCAAGTCTTTTGGTCACAACAACACAGCTGTCGTTTCCCAGATGCCCTGCTCGCAAGATTTGTCTGTCTGCGACTTCTTCCTCCGGGAGAACCAGTGTGCAGCGTTATTGATTTTGCAAACCCAGTCACAGAATTTTTTAATCACACTCTGTACCCTGTCTGTAGATTGTAATATTTCGATGGTATGTTGATTTTTATGCTCTATCCTGTATTTTATTTACTATGATTTTGCATGCCATTGTTCAGTGAAACAACTTGTAACTATTTTTTGGAAAAGTTGTATTATAATTATTACAGCTGTGAAAATGTTAAAGTTGGAGTGTGGGACTTTTAAATACAAATAGACATCAGTTACTTTTAAGCCAAATGAGTTCACATAAAGCACATGAAGCCTATCAGTTCCAGGTGAGTCGCTGTATACGGAAGTTTTAAGTCTTGTGTCTGTCTGCACTGGTGCACCAGTACTATGCATTTTACATTTACCAGCAATGACTGGTTCACCAGAGCTGAAGAGGGGAGCAACTAAGATAAAATGGGCCACAATAATAACCAATACAGTGGACACTATGGCAGAAAAACTAGTAGGGGTCCATAAGTTTCTAATATTTTAGGTAGAAAAGAAACTCGGCATCGAGAACAAATGTTAAGAGTCTAAAAAAGAAAGAGATCCACAGCGCACATCACAGTGTTTTTGTAATTACTATCGCTGCCAGAAGGGGGAGACAAAAGCTCTGCACTGCGGGTTTCAGCAATTTGAAGAACTGCTCAGTTATCGGCTCCTGTGCAGTGAAGACGTCACCTAACAGACATCACGTATTTGTGCAGCAGCAGTCTCCTACTCAGTAATGCGACACACACTGTTCAGAATGAGACACTTTTTGAAGTCTTCTGGCTCGATAGCACTGAGTAAATAGAATAATGTAAACAGAGTTCCTGCAGAGTGTTGGTAGACTGTAACGAAGCCTGATCACATACGAAACACATCACTACTGTTCCAGCAGGGATGGAAAAGGTTGAAAACTACACGGAACTTGATACAATAAGCTGATTATCATTTTAAATCTACACAAATAGATTTGTAATACATTTGTAGTATAACATCACATTCTATTCAGACTTAGATCAACTTTATTGATTCTCAAACAATTTCCCTTGTGGATCAATAAAGTTTATCTAAGTCTAAAGAAAATGTGATGTATGACTCCAAATCTATTACATGAGCATATCAATCCACAGCAAGTTGAACAAATAAATAAATAAAACACTCCCTCTGGCTCTTTGTTTAGTGTGACAGTATTTAAAGGTTTGTCACTGTTAAGAAAGAGGAAGTTTTCTTCTGGAATAAGCTGCCTCAACATGCTTCAACATGTCAGAACATGACCTGTAAGCACATTAACAGCTGGAAATATCCCTGAATTGCACTTAAACTAACATTGCTTGCATTTTTTTTGTCTGCAGGAAGAAGATGTCTTACTACACAATCGTCGCCAGACGGGAGGGAACATTTACTTCTTAAATATTTGGTTTGTCTGGCACATCCTTCCCCTCCATCCAGCCAGCCTCTTAATAAAGATATGTACATATAGAGCTCTTTCTGAGTTCATTATCTCACCTCTTCCTGCTCTCTCCTCTTCCAGCGCAGCTGAGCGTTGGCCGCTGCCATCGCCTCGATCACAAAAGTGGTGGTCATGTAGCTGAGAGGGAAGATAATTAACAGATTAACAAAGTGGTTCAAATGAAAACAAAGCATGAACTTGTATTTTGATTGTACAACAGGTTTATCCACAAGCCTCTCTGTAAGTATAAGGTGGCACAAAATCATTCAGACAGAGATTACAAAAGGTTTGATGGTAAATTCCAGAAAAACTGAGTTTCTAGTGTGGCAGTGTGAAAGCCTAATTGATGTAGCTGCCATTATTATAAATTGTTTTTGATCTATTTTTGTTTTACATTCATATTTTCTGCATCAATTTATGATTATTTTTTTAGTGCTGAATTATGTTGAAATCACTCATAACTACAAACCTGCTCACTAGAGAACAACCTTGTGTATGACATGCCCTTAAAATCTGAATTACTGTATGCAGCAGGGAGCAAACATCTTGTTTAAACAGAGACATTATCCCACTTATATACTGTAAAAGTAGAAACTGTAAGAGAGGAAAATTTGGTCGAAAATCTCCTCCAGAATCCTTGTTTACTTTGTCTTGGTAGTTGGATGTCAGATGGAGAAAGAAGAACAAGACTCACCTCATAAATCCTAAAAAGGTGATGAGTGCTAAGCTGACCACCCAGCCAGCTGTAGCGAAGGCTTTGGGCATCGTCAGAGCTCCTGTTCCCACAATCAGGTTAAACATATACACCAGCCCCACCTGGAGAAGAAACGATGGAGTTTATAGTTGATACTGAACTGTAACATTATTTTCATTATCTTCTACTTCCCTAATTTTCATATTTTCCTCCACAACCTTTAAATGTTGCCGACCTGATTTTCTGTGTGAATCAATCATCCAGTATTGATGATTTACTTAATGTACTTCAGTGCAAATTCTGAAGCACTACAGTATCAGGTGCTCCTCAGCACCCTGGCTGATAAAGATCAAGCTACTGGGTGGAATCAACCATTGTCAAGGGAGACAACCGGGCTAATTGGGCAGCACTTAGCCTATCGGGTAGCAAAGTGCTTTAAAGATTCAAAGCTTCAGCTTCCCGGAAAAAACATTTGACCAGCAGAACTCAGTCTTTGTGGCAAAGTCATGCTGAAGTCAGCAAAGTCAGAGACCAAATGAGTTGTCATGACCATAAAGGGGCCTTGTGGTGTGTAAGAAATGCAAAGGAGGATGTCGAAGCATTTAAGCTTCCCCTTTTATTTGTCGCTGCACTTTCATATTCATATTCCCTTCTTGGAAACATTACTCACTCTGTAACGAAAATTGTATTGAAACAGGCCATTTCTGTCCAAACTTTACAAAGTATTTACCTTTCAACAGTCAATTTAATTGACTCAACATATAGTTCAATACAATCAATGAAGTAAAGGTTAAAGCATCTGCAACTCAATAAGGAGAACAGTACAACTCCAGTCAGGTGCTCTTTGCTTTTTGAAGCTTCTAGCTACCACAAAACCTGTTAACAACCCACATTTCTACAGAGTTCACCCAGGTACAAGGCCATCACACACACGTGTAACCTTAAATGATTATTCTGCAGGATACTCACAAATGCCGAGTAGGGTTCCCCGGTGTCTGTAATTCCACCTGCCATGATTGGTGACTCTGGTCCTCAACTGAAGAGACAAAACACAGCCAGGTGAGGCAGCTGAAGCGCTCACATTCACATTTGCTTTAATGACATGGTGGTAATTTAAGAAAATAGACTGTAAATAATATAAGAATAATGATTTAAAGTGCTTCCTCTGTTCTTTCTTGCAAGGAAACAGGATCTCATATCAGACAAGTAATATTTATTTCATCATTGGGGGGAAGAAAAAAAAATAGGCTAAAAATTAAATTCAAGACATGTCATAAATTAAAATAATAAAAAAAAAAAAACACTTTTCAGTTTGGCATGAATATGGTCTACATATTTCCAGTGGTGGAACGCACCTTAAATACAATTCTGAGGTACTTGTGCTTTACCTGAGTATTTCCAGAGAGAACTATTGTACTTTCTGCTCCACAACATTTATAGGACACCTTGTTAAAATGAGGTCACCATGAATAAGGTAGCAAACTTTGAAAATACAACACTTTGTTAAAGATTAAACCAGTGGTTTCCAACCATTCTGGCTTCCTACAAAATGCAGGATGTCTTCGAGTTCACATTTTAAATGTGTATGAACTGTTACCAGCTCCACAAATTAGCGATTTTATCCCTTGAAACTGTTTTGATAATACATTAACAAAAACAGGTTTAAAGAAAAACTGAAAACAGATGTGTGTCTTTCCTCTGTTGTTAATTATTTGACTAGTTTATATTCTGTCCTTCTATATAAAACTGTACATAAAGGAGCTTCACCTGCAGCATGCTGCTGACACACCAATGCTTCATAATTCACAACCTAATAATATCATATATAATGCTATATCAGCTTGCTGCTTACTTTAATACTTTAATTACATTTTACTGCTATGTTCTTTTACTTAAACAGCATTTTTCATCCAGGACTTTAACTTGTGATGGAGTAATTCAACACTGATGTCTGGACTCTTCCACCACTGCAGATGTCAATACTAATGTGTTCTAGGCCAAATGTCTTCCAGTCACTGCTGCATATTCTAATGTCTGAGACTATGAAGACAACAGCCTTCTTTCATTGAGTCCTGGCAGAGTCTGAGATTGTATCTGTAGTTTCTATTCTGGTAGTTATTGATCTCAATTAGCTGACATTCCCATGCTAGCAAAGCAGCTGGCAGCCTAGCGTCAGACTGGCACATCTACTGCACATGGATAACATTTAGTTTTATGCTAAATACTAATACAAATGTGAGTTTGGGAAGGTTTCCCCGTTGCTAATTACAGGGATGTCATGACTGGAGACACACCGCTCACCTACCTTCCTTCTTCCCAGTTGCTAACTTAGCTGCTAGGCTAGCAGGATGCTCCAAGCTGGATCAAACCCTCACTAGCTGGTCGAATAAACGCACCCCGCCGCCAGCTAGCCAACATCGGCTACGCTGTTGTTAGATAGCTGGAGGGACGACGGGGCAAAAAGGAAGGTTAAAACACATCCCCACACGTTAGCGAGGAACTAACACTTAGCTAACTTCAGCAGTAAACTAACCCAACCAGCTGACCTGCTCCCGCATGAACAACACATGTCGAGCTGCCCACAGCGGAAACCCACACTACCGGTGCTCCCTTTCAAAATAAAACCATCTCCGTGTTAAATTCACACTAAGGCTTTTACTATAATGAGCAAACATGATGCTGTTTCTTATTATCATATCCAACTTGATACCGCTGGTAGTTGGGTTGCTCGGTGGGTTGTTATTGCAGGTTTAAATCACGGGGTTCAATTAAATCGCATCATTTGTTCATCACAGTTATTCCAACATTGCTAACACCGTGTTTTCCATCAATGGCGATTGTGTACTCTGCATTTTAAGACTACAAGCAGGTTAAATTAGCCAATATTTACTTCCAGATTGGTTTTCACCCGCCCTTCAGTGCTGCAGGGGTTAGAAAACTGAACGATCCCTTCAGCAGGGTGAGCAGTCATATGACACGTGGACATGTCACATGGCAGTATACCTGTTTATGCATTCCTCCAGTTATTATAAAAGACTCTGTCACCTAGGAGGACGCGTTAAGAGAGGGCAAATTATGCATATTAAACAGTTTATTCACTGCAGTAATACAGAGAAAAAATAGTGAGTGCAGCTTTGTCAAGATCAAAACATTAGGAAGAAAATATAAAATTAAGTGTTCTTCAAGGACAGGGCCAGGAGTCTGTAAAGATAAAAATAAAAATAAAAATGATGACAGTCCCATTTCTTATTAGTGGATATCTCGAGTCCAAAAAGTATCAGATTTTAAATATAAAAATCCTTTATAAAACAAACAAAAAAAAGGCTGCATGCGAATTGTCTTCTCTTCTGACTTAGAGAAAACGTAGAAAATCTAATTTTGTGCAAAAAGTGCACGATTTCTAAAAAACCTAATCAAACCTTTCAGGAAGAGTGTGTGCAAAGTGCAATGGATTTTAAATGCAACACCTGCTTTCAATGCACTCCACACAGAGCATCAGTATGAAAAAGAAGTGGGACAGCCACTATTTTTCACATCTTTATTTCAATTCATGCATTCTGTTGAATTTTGTTGGCACCAGTCTGTATCAACTTAGGGTGAGCATGTCTTTATTTATGAACGGAAAACACTGAATTCAGGAACCAGGGAACAAATCAAAATATAACTCTACTATATGATGCAGTAAAGCTCTCAGGCGTTCTGTGTTAAATATTTATTCTCCTGTAGATGTGTTCTTCTTTATTTATCCCCTTTAAATATACATATAGGCAAGATTTACTTCTGTGTCCTGTTTTGTGTCTTTTGTTTGGGAAATAAATCTCTTTGAATGTGGTTTTTACAGGGGGGGCAAATGCATGTTTTAAACATCCAGGGGGATGTATCCTCTGTGTCCAGCACCAAAGAGCATCACGCTCACGTTTAGCAGTCTGCTGGCGCTGTTAAAATGTTATGTTCCTGTTGCAGACTCAAAAAAGCTGCAAAGGTCTTTTATTATTACAAATGTTATAAAGATTAGAAAAGTGGGGCAGCCTGACTGCTGTGATATGAAATCTCTCAACCAGGACAGAGCTGGATGCAGGATCCAGGCTCAGAGGTTCCCAAACTGAGGTCCACTCACTCATAGGAGGCCCTGAGAAGATTCCAAGTGGTCCATAGACAAAATTAGACTGCCAAATTAACTTCAAATGAATCAAGATAAGACATTTTCAGACATGGGTAGATAAGTCTCTCTCAGTGTCTTATTTATGATTTTTAATTTATTTTGTCTTTTTTTTTTTTAGAGTCTCCAGTCGCTCTAAAAGCACCTGAAAAAATACAACTTTAAGAATCTCACTAGACACCACAGATCAGCACTTGACACGTTTTAATATTTAGTGCTGCAAAACACACAGTTTTTAGTTTTTTTATTTTAGTTTTGCACCAGAATTCTACTGTAACACAGCACTTTGACTGACGTTATCCATGTTGGAAGACTAAATCCACAGAAGAGATACAAAAACTGTTAGTAAACATAAAATGTAAGTGATTTTTAAAATGTTTCTTCGCATAGTGATGTTTCATGATTAACTAAAAATAAATAGTCTAAATTTGACAAATGAATGGGATATAAATCCACATTTTTTCACCCTGTCTTTAGTAATGTCTCTCTTTTTTTTCCTGATTTATTTGTTCATTTAGTCAAGGTGGCTCGGTGGTTAGCACTGTCGCCTCGCAGCTGGAAGATCACAGGTTCGCATCCCGGTGAGGATGCCCGGGATCTTTCTGCGTGGAGTTTGCATGTTCTCCAAGTGCAGCGTGGGTCACCCCGGCTTCTTCCCACTTTCTCCAGCTTCCTCCCACAAGTCTAAAAAGATGCTGCGGTTAATTGGTGATTCTAAATTGATAATGGATGGATGGGCAGATATGTGTCCCATGTCATGCCGTGTTGTGCCCTGTAAACCGATAAGGACATTGTCTATAACTTTAGTTAAAGGAGAACAATATGATATATTAAAAACACAGTCAAATATTTTTTTTGTTTGCAAACTTCATTTTAAACCAGAGAATTTTAACATCCATTTCATAATAAGATATTATGTATATGATTTTCATGCAATAATCTGTACCTAGGTTATTAGTTTATATCTGCAAAGATGAGTAAGACTGGTTCTACAGCAATTAATGAGCAGAAATGTAGATGAAGTCATTAATATTAGGTTTAAAAAGCCATGTGTTTTCTCCTTCACTGCCTACATTTAGAAATGTTAATGCCCAGGTGACTATTTATTATTAAAAGCTCCATCACATTAAGATCTAAGAGCATGCACTGGCTGATTAAACACACAGCATCTAAGGCAGTCCATGAAATCGAAATCAAAACCCCCCTTGAATCCAATTGACATAAACAACTACCAGAAACACCACAACAGTCACAAAATATGCAATAAAGAAAATTAAGTCTATGATGTTAGCCAGAACTTTGCAGAATCCAGACTGTCTCTTCTCATTCTTCTTTCCACCGGCTTCTAATCGAGCTGTCTTCAGTTCGTCCAGGATTCGTTTCAGCAGGTCACGGACGCCAGGCCAATCCAAAGGATTGGAACTCTTCTCAGGTGTCACCGGGCTTTTCTCTTCATCTCCAGCAGGCTCTGAATGGCAAACAGGGAAGATTGTTTTTACAGCAGATGCTGCTTTCAGGGAATCCCCCTGTGCACTACCTGAGCAGACAGAAACAGAATTAAGCGATTAAAAGCCAGATACAGTTAGAATAGTGGACTGTTTCCTGACTGTGTGTGCCAGAAAAATAAGTCATTGTTTAATACCACATTAACCAGTGTTTCTTTATCAATAATGCTCTGTTGATGTGACCTGTTGTGAGAGAATGATCACCTCGCTCTTCAGTTCAGCTTTGGTTCACTGCCTTCCACAGATGGAGAAAGCATTCACATGCTTTAGTTCAGCCAGCGTACGAATACATCAGTGTAAATATGCTCCACTTGAAGTGAAAGTTCTGCATGAAAAATCTTACTTATGTACAAGTACAGTAGCAGCAAAATGTAGTGAAAGTATTTCGGTATTGGTTTGTTCCCTCTGACTGGTACATTCTTATAGATGATTAATCCTGAAGCATGTTACTGTTGTAGTTGCTGCAGGTGGAGCTTTACATCCAGTTTTATACACAGCAGAGACAGCAGATAAATCTAAAGAAAGAAGAAATAACAAGAAGCCCCTTCTTCTAAAACTTCTTCTGGTGTAATCCCTACCTAAATGTTGTATTTTAAAAACTTGTTATATTATCCATTGTGTGAAATTTTCATCTTAAGGTCAAGTACAAGTATCCCAAGTGAACTACCTGAGTAAATGTACTCAGTTTCTTTCCACCACCGCCCTCTTCACTCTTGTTAAGCTTGTTTCTAGCTACAATTCTACAATTTCATTTAGCAGACGCTTCTATCCAAAGCAACGTACATCTGAGAGCGGATACAACACAAGCAAGGAGCTAGTCAGGAGAGAACAATCTGGATAAGTGTCAAAGAACAAGTTCAAGTGTGATAGGGCGTTGATGCCAATAGCAGGCTGTGTGGGAGGTAATAGGAAATATTTTTTGTTTGTTTGGCAACCTGTTCCACCACCAGGGAACCACAGAGGAGAAGAGTCTGGCTATCAACCTCGGGCCTTTTTGCGGTGCTTGTATCAGGCGGCTTTTGATGGTCAGAGTTTTGAATTGGATGCAGGCAGCAACTGGAAGCCAGTGAAGCGATCTGAACAGTGGGGTGACATGTGCCCTTTTTGGCTGGTTGAAAACCAGACGTGCTGCTGCATTCTGGATCATCTGCAGAGGTTTGACCGTGGATGCAGGGAGACCTGCCAGTAAGGAGTTGCAATAGTCAAAGCACGATATTATGAGAGCTTGTACCAGGAGTTGTGCTGCATGTACAGACAGGAAAGGTCTGATCCTCTGAATCGACACCACCAAGCAACAGAGGCCACATGAGCTTTGAAGGTTAGTTGGTCATCAATCATGACACCCAAGTTTCTGGCAGATTTTGTGGGTTTGAGTTGGATTGAATCAAGCTTGATGTTGATTTCTTGTTGTAGAGAGGAACTGGCTGGGATGACAAGGAGCTCAGTCTGCAGCAGGCAGTGAAAACACTCTACCTGCTCAGCACGAAAGCTCAGAGGATCTTTGGAGTGTTCATGGCGACCAAACAAAGCTAAATGGAGAGTTCATATTGGTCTTAAATTCAACATTTGTCCAGAAATAATTGGTTATAGCTAACCCAATAGCTTAACACAGTTGAAATTACTATTCCTTACTGAAGGTTTGCTGCCAAATTCTATCATTAATAGCATGTTAAACTATGGAAAGGAGTGAAAGAGGTTGTTTAATGTATAAAAAACAAAAGCATATTGTTTATGTATTAATACCATAACCTTGACATCTAATTGGCAAACAAGAAAATGCTAATAATGTCCACTCATAAGGAATCTATTGAATCTATTGCCTTCC